ACACACACACACACACACACGCATACACTCACACGCACACACACACACACACACACACACACATGGTACCTTCTCCCGTGTTCGTTTCTATTCCTGCTCCTCACTCTACCTTCTTCACTCCAGATTCCGTCGTCAAGGTGACGATGAGTCATCAGAACAAGCCAGTAAAGACGAAGAAGACAGGCGTCGTGAAGAGAAGCAGAGATCCTGCTTACAACGAGTCGTTCTCGTTCAAACTGGAAGCAGACAAACTCAGTACGACGTCGATAGCTGTCGTTGTCATGAAGTATGAGCCGCCGCCGAAAGGTATCTATCTATCTATCTATCTATCTATCTATCTATCTATCTATCTATCTATCTATCTATCTATCTATCTATCTATCTATCTNGGGTCAAGCGGGCAGCTGCCCCCTAGATTATGAAGCAAAATTAAACTGTAAGCTAATAATTGTAAATAACGCCTAACGTGATTTTTTGGTCGCTTATTTTTGATTTATTTTTGATTTATTTTTGATTTATTTTGTATTGGTGATTTTTTGGTCGCCTTTGGTTGATTTTTTTGGTGATTTTTTGGTCAGACCCACACCTACCACACTATGGAATCATACGCTCATCATTACACAGTTGAGTCATGAAATTTTACCCCCCCCCCTAGGAATTTAGTCGGCCCTGCTATATATACTGACTGGTGGCACTGACGCTGCTGTTACAGATTATATATATATAGAGATGTTTATATTACAGATGCCAGCAGCAGATATGGGTGAGATGAGTGTAGCTCTGTGCTATAACGCTGACCTAGAACGCCTCACCGTCACTGTGTTCGAAGCCAAGGAGCTACGTACTGAAGCCAATACGCAGATCGGTAATCAATACGTAATCGAACTAATTAATAATTAATTGGTAATCGATGACGTTTCGTCGTACACGCACACACGTAGACGCGCACGCGAACACACGCACGCACGCGCGGACTCACACGCACTCATGTACGCGCGCACACACACACGCGCACACATACCCACACACGACACCACGCCACGCACAAACACACACACACACAACACACACACGCACGCCACGCCACTCACACACAAACACACACACATATACATACACACACGACACACACACACGCACACACACACACACGACACACACACCACACACACGCCGCGCCACACATTACCACACACGCCACGCACAAACACACACACACACACACACCACACACACACACACAACACACACACACACAGCCACACACACACACACACACATGGTCACCTTCTCCCGCTGTTCTTTCTATATCCTGCCTCCTCACTCTACCTTCTTCACTCCAGATTCCGTGCGTCAAGGTGACTCGATGGAGTCATCAGAACAAGCAGAAAGACGAAGAAGACAGGCGTCGCCTGTAAGAGCAGCAGAATCCTGCTTACAACGCAGTTCGTTCTCGTTCCAAACTTGCGAAGCAGACAAACTCAGTACGACGCGCATAGCTGTCGTTGTCATGAAGTATGAGCCGCCGCCGAATGTATCTATCTATCTATATCATTCTATCTATCTTATCTATCTATCTCAATCTATCATCTATCTATCGTATCTATCTATCTCATCTATTATCTATTCTATCTATGCTATCTAATCTAATCTATCTATCTATCTATCTATCTATCTATACTGATCTATCTATCTATCTATCTATCTATCTATCTATCTATCTATCTATCTATCTATCTATCTTATCTATCTATCTATCAATTCTATCCTATCTTATCTATCTAGCTATCTATCTATCTATCTATCTATTTATCATATCTATCTATACTATAACTATCTTATCTTATCGATCTATCTATCTAGTCTATCTATCTCTATCTATCTAATCTATCTATCTATCTATCTATCTATCTATCTATCTATCTAATCTATCTATCTATCTATCTATGCTATCTATCTATCTATCTAATCTATCTATCTATCGATCTATCTAATCTATCTATCTATCTATCTAATCTATCTATCTATCTATCTATCTATCTATCTATCTATACTATCTATCTATCTATCTATCTATCTATCTATATATATATATATACATATATATATCTCATATACCCCTATCCGTGCTTTTCTATTTGTACTCAGCTCTTTATTTACCCATCTATCTACCTGTAATTACATGTACCTAGTACTATAGCTAAATGCATAATAATACCAGGAGTCGATGATATAGATCTCTATTATCCACTCCTGGTCATACTAGTAACACGCACCTGTACTAGTAACACGCACATGTATTAGTAACACGTACACATACGAGCAAAGGAGGCTGTACAAGTGTATGCGTAGCTAGTAATGTTGTGTATTACTGCGAGTTCTTCTGACAATCACTAGAATAATTTCATCGAGCACTGTTGTAACATGATGATTATATCAACTGAAGCCATATTTACCTCTGCCAGGGAAGTTATTACGTTTTCGTCCCCGTTCGTCTGTGTGTTTGTTGGTTTGTTGGCTTGTTTGTCTGTCATCAGGATATCTAAAAAAGTTACCGACGAATTTTGGTGATTTATTTTGGACAGGTTGGTCTTGGGCCAACAACCAATCGATGATCCGTATCCAGATGTAGATAAAAAAAATTTGTATACATATTTTTGTGGGAAAGACTTTTAAAAATTTATCAAAAAAATCCTGGATAGATCGTTTTAGATCAAAAAGATATTTTTTTCAAATTTCTTAAAATTTCATCAAACTCTATATTGGGTGTACGAGCGAGATGGGGGGGGGGCTGTGAAGCTGTGGCGGAGGTTTGCTATCTCCGATTGCTCTTGTGTTTTTAATAATTCTCTCTCCTGCTGGGACTTCACCAACGTGTCTGCTTCTTCTCCGTGCAGCCGATAAAATCATCGAGATTCGCGAAAAGTAAACCACAGCGCGAAATATTCAGCGTATACTAACGCGTATGTATGTATGCTTGCTTGCTTGCAGCCGACAAGCTCATTGGACGAGTGGTTCTCGGATCGTACATGTTCGCGCGGGGAAAAGAGCTCGAACATTGGAACGAAATGACAGCCAATCAGAAGGAGCAGATCCAGCAGTCGCACGCGCTCACCACCTGATGACGTCATCGGCGGCGTGACGATGACGTCATCGGGTGCCACGCGACGATCGTAGTCAAGGGTTATGAGCAGCGGTCTGCGAGGAGCGCCATCTGTAGTGTATTTGTGGAGCTAGGCGCGCGCGAATTGTCACGGTTCGTTATAGATGCAAGTCTGTACGTAGTGTCATGTATACACACATACATGAAGCTGGTTTGTCGTCGGCAGTATCGTACGCGCTCTCCGCACATCACTCTTTGTGGACAGTGTTGCTGTTGTTGCCGCTTTCGTCGTCATCGTCAGCGGCGTCGGCGTCGCTCACAATTAGTATCGCCATCGTCGGCGTCACCGTCACCGCCGTTATTAGTGTTGTCGCTGCGACGATCATCGTCGCCGTCATCGCCCGACGGCGCCACAGTCGTCACCATCACCGTCGTCATCGTCGTCGTCGTCGTCGTCGTCGTCGTCGTCGTCGTCGTCGTCGTCATCGTCGTCGTCGTCATCGTGGCATTATTGGTTAGCTGTGCCCGTATATCATGAAATTATTGGCTAACTATTTGCTCCTATACAATGAAATGTTGAGTTAGCTATGCTCCTATACAATGAAATGTAGGATTAGCTATGCTCCTATATATATATCACGGATATTATTGGTTAGCTGTGCCCGTATATCGTAAAATTATTGATTACCTATGCTCTTATCGATCAATAATCGAATAGTCGCGATCATGTAATAGTGAAAATATCGGTTAGTTACGCCTGTAGCTGTCGCTGAGCGGTTATCAATTGACTTTTTTGACGTCATTTCATGAATGTTGGACTCATTGCGTTTAATCGAAGAGCAACGATGGTTGAATAGAGAGCGTTGTAGTCGTAGGAATATAGACGCATTCATGTCACAGACAACAATAAGCTAGCTTTTCGTTTACATTTTATTCATAATGTTCTTCGCGCTATTATTGTGCATTATCCAACCGTAGCAATTGAGAATTGATTGTAGGCTTTGTTAGATAAACCACCAAGCGCACGCACGCACGCATGCACGCACGCACATATATACACAATCATCAAGGTGCACACGCCCCACGCACGCACCCATATACACGCCGCACGCACGCACGCACGCACGCACGCACGCACGCACATATATACACAATCATCAAGGTGCACACGCCCCACGCACGCAC